TTTGTAAAGATGGACTAACTATTTTAAATTAATTATAATACATAGATTCATTCATTATAGTATAACATAATTTTGTAGTTTTGCTCTATGTATTCTGCATGTCATCATCACCATCATCACCACCATCATCATCACCATCATCATCATCACCTCACTGCAGTCCACTGCAGGACATAGGCCAGCTGCATGTAATTCTGTTGTATTTTAAATTAATTATCATATATAGAATCATTTATTATTTTACTTTACTTTTCTAAAATAAAAGATTTTTTCTAAAACATAAGTAGCCTAAATTACTCGTAATTTTTTTTTTATTTATTTAATAAAGATAATTGTACAGTAGTTTTTATACATTTACTCGCCAAACTGTAGAACAGTTTGTTGGCAACTGTTTATTACATCAGCTACCTGCCAAAGTCCCGTCAAAATCCGTCCAGCCTTTTCAGAGATTAGCCGGCACAAACAGACAGATAAAAATTGTAAATAGTATTATTTTCGTGTATGTTGGTACCGTATTTATATTTATATGTATGTAGTAAAAAACGGCTGTTTCACTATTACAAACAGACACTCCAATTTTATTTATATGTATAGATTATATGTACAATCACATCCACGCGGTTGCTCCTGATTAATTCCAATATATCCTTTGGTATCTTATTGTAAATTTTTATACCTATTCCCATAAAAGACCTATTGACTTTTTCTAAAGGATACTTGGGGACAGCAAGTTTGTCTTTAAATCTAGTATTAATATTATGAATATTGCTGTTTTTTTGGAAAACAAAAGTACAAATTTCAATGTGTTTACGGCTTTTTAAAAACTAATTGGGTTCAAAATGTAATAATAATAAATATCAATGTTTGTTGAATAAAATAATTGTTTTCAATAACGTATTACAAGTATAGCTAGCTAACTTTTGTATTTTTGTTTATGTACGGTCAATTCTTTGTTCGGTATTACAATTTCCTGGCTACAATTTGTATATAATGAATACCACAGATACCCTTCCAACACTTGTTTACAAAGTATTCCAGGAATAATCTCATTACTTCACAATTTCACATACGATTGAAACGAGAAAACTTATAACTAGCTGGTCCCGAGTCTTCCTTCGCTTGGAGTTTAACTTTATATTATTAAAATAAAATCATTTTTCTAAACTCAAAGTAGCTTAACTTACTCCTTATTACATCAGATATTTGTCAAAGAAAGTCCCGTCAAAATTGGTCCTGCCATTTCAGAGATCAGCCGGAACAAACAGACGACAAAAAATTTTTTTGGTGTATGTATTTATATTCATATACATGTAGTATGAAACGCTTATTTCAATATTATAAATAGACACTCCAAATTTATTTATATGTGTAGATAAGTTTCCGTCTAAAAATATAAGTTTTTTGCCTGGTTTGTTTTGAAGAGGCATCACCGTCCAGAGATATACGTATCTAAAGAGTCATGTTCAATAATGACTTTGTCTATTCTAACAAAATAGTGCTTTATTACTATAGTCATAGGTGCCTCATTATCCTAATGTACCCAGGGTCTTTAAGGTGAAAGTTCTGCTTAATTTCAAGAAAATTCAGACAACTCAAACCCCCTCCGATCGATCCCCCGTCTAATTCAAACGGGGATCGATATTACGACGGCCTGATCCGAGGTTCGAACCCCTAGTGGTGTCCTCAGATTAAAGTCGTATCCGTCAGGCGGGAGTTGGCCTTCAGCCGCTCCATAAGTCCTTCCTTGGTTTGGAGTGGCATCTGCACTCGCCTACTACCGTCCGGTGAAGCTGTAAAGGCCAGCTGCGGCCAACAGCATTAGAGTAGTCCGAAAAAAAAGACTACTCTAAGCAAATCTCTGGTATCAAGATTTTTATCGCTCCATTTATGGTATGGGTTCCAGGGAGTCATTGCGAGAGTGTTTTAAGGAATCAAATATCCTCACCGTTGCTTCTCAATACATTTATGAAAATATCATCTATGCCAGAAGGAATATAGACAGTTTCAAAAGAGTTAGTGATTGCACTAATAAAAGCTTACGTAACAGTAACAAACTGATTTTACCTAATATTATCTGATTACATTAATAATGAGTGCGTAGCGACTTCTATGTTGATTATCGCATGCCTCTTACTTGTTATACTGTAATTATTTATATAAAAAAAAAACATCTATTAAAAAGAGCAACACACAAGTTTCTTGCTCATTCTTCTTGTGATGAATCTGCATTCCGCATGAGTGGTAGAATCAAAATATGACTATTCAAAAGTGCTTGTAATGAGTTCATTTGAATAAAGATTATTTCTATTTCTATTTCTATTTTAAGTACAATTGTTCCGTGATTCAAAGGTCTCAAGAAGACCTGCTCGTGGTCTTCTTTACAATAAAAATCTACCACCCTTGCGTAAGGCTAAAATATATGTCATTTGTAAGTAACCCAAGTACAGCAAATTATTTATTATAACTTAAAACAGAGGACATTATTTGACGGCCTCGATGGTCTAGAGGTTTAGCGCAACTTACTACCGATGGTCGCGGGTTCGATTCCTCGCACGGCACAAACTTTTGTATTCATGACTATGATTGTTTGTACCGGTCTGGGTTTTTTCTATGTATACCTAATATGTACGTATTTACGACAATTATAAATTATTTATGTATTTGTATCAGTTATTTAGAAACCTTTAACACAAGCTTGCTTAACTTGGATCTAGATGGCGCTGTGTGAATTGTCTTAAAAAATACAATAATTACAAATGAAATTTCTTAAGTCCTACTAAATTAAGAAGTTTTAAATTACTGCAAGATTTACGGATCGCTAACTAAAAGTTAACCTGTAGATTAACCAGAATAACACATAAGCTTATAAAGTTATAACATAAATAAACTGAAATCACTGTGGGCTAACCCAATAACTAATAACTGTTTGATGGATTGAATTGAAAAACTTTCGATTCAATCAATTCGGATTTTGATGAAACTTTTTTTTTTTTTATAAAACTTTTGTATCAGAAATACAAATAGGCTTTATATTGAAACTTAACGCAGGTGAAACCGCACGCAAAGTTAGTACGTAGTAGTAGTAATAGAATAGAAAATCATTTATTCAAATAAACTTATATTGAAGCACTTTTGAATAGTCATTACATTTTTTAATCTACCGCTCGTTCGGAAAGCTGTCTCATCACAAGAAGAACGAGCAAGAAACTTGCGTGTTGCTCTTTTAAATAATTTTATTATTACTTTACATTTTTAAGTTTAAGTATGTGAATACAAACCACCAATTAGCACTAATTCTATTAAATACTCAAATAGAAAAAATATTGAATATATAACCAACTGGTTAAATAATTAATAAGAGGAAATCAGTCATAGTAATATATTACAATTCTTTATTAATACAATATTATTAGATTCTTTTAATAAGCTAAGCTTAAAGTTTTACAGTTTATTTAAACAAAAAATATAAATCAAAATTCTTGTGTTTCATCCAAAACCGAGTCAGTCATATAATATTTTATAATCACTTAAAAATCTCAACTAATTGTATTATTTAGAAGTATCCGACTTAAAAAAAAGGAGATTGATTACAATTTTTTTTATTACCGATCCGACGTTTAAGATTTCTTTTTTTTTGTAAGTAAAACTGGCCATGAGCGCCATCGCACTAAATCACAGGGTGTGTGAATTTACGTCCAATATTTTTTTCTGTAGGAACCGCTGGGCTTCTCAAACTGCAGTGAAAAAAGTTAATACAAAAATTTCAAGTTCATATGTGGCTAAAATGTCCGACATTAATAATAATAATAATAAATAAATAATCTCTGTACAATTCACACAGCGCCATCTAGACCCAAATTAAGCTACCTAAAGCTTGTGTTATGGGTACTTGACGACTGATACACATACATAGATATGTTTTTTTTTTCGTAAATACATACATATTATACATAGAAAATACCCAGACCGATACAAACAATCATACTTATAAATACAAATGTTTGTGCCGCGCGAGGAATCGAACCCGCGACCATCGGTCGTAAAGCGGTGTGCTAGTCCGCTGGACCACCGAGGTCGATAAAAACATTAATAAATGATTTTTGATTTGTTGAGCTAGTTTGTAACATTGTATTGTATTGTATATGCATGTATATTTAAATCGTTATTTATTGATGGTGATCCAACGACAATAATAAATAAAGATAAAATAATTTATATTTATTTTTATTAATAATGCGTATTTGTTAATTAAATCTATACATATAAATAAAATTGGAGTGTCTGTTTGTAATATTGAAATAACCGTTTTTTACTACATGCATATGAATATAAATACGGTACATATACCAAAATAACATTTTTGTCTGTCTGTCTGTTTGTTCCGGCTAATCTATGAAATGGCTGGACTGATTTTGACGGGACTTTTATTGGCAAGTAAGTAATGTACTAACGAGTAACTTAGGTTATTTTTATTTTAGAAAAATCTTTTGTTTTAGAGAAATAAAGTTAAATTCCACGCGGACTTAGTCGTGGGTACAGCTAGTTAGTAATAATTTAGTTGCTCGCTCGACTTACTATTGAAACTTAATCAACTTATAATTAACTTAACTATAATTATAATTAACTTAACTAAACCTCACCAATAGAAAACAATAAATTTATATTAAATCATACTTTCATCATGTATAGCTTAAATAATATTATTAATTAACATAATTTTTGTTATAATATGTATACATTAGTCGGCAAAAAGTTATAGACAGAGTTTGAACACCGTTGTTCCGAGTAGGGGTGGCGCCGTAGTGACGCCAAGTTTTGCTTTGCAGGTATGTTTGACTTCAATCCACAATGTCTCCAATTGGACATACTATTACATAATTTTTTACCACAGTTTTTATCACCGGACAAAAATCAACGAATCTCCCTGTTAAATACATTTTAATTTAGTACGTATTAGTAACACGATCACAGCAAACGATACAATATCGTTATTCACTTACGGTTTTTTACTCCAGTCCCACATTTCTTAGTTTTAGAATATTTTCTCTCTGAAGGTTGTTTAGATCTATCGGTCAACCTAAAAGTTTTGCAAAGTAAAGTCACTTTCGCTCCGCCGGACACGTTCTCATCTAAAGTTTTTACTGTATTAGTCAAAAGATATTTATTAGCGAAGTGTGAACTCTTAAAGTTATGGGTACTGTCCTTATCAATTTTAACGTTATCTAGTTTCGTTTGCTTATTGTTATCATCATAACAATCTGATAACATTGAACTGTTACTGTAATTACAGACAACGTCGACCCTTATTATTTGTACTGTTTCTGGGCTAGGTACACGAGAAATTGTAAGACTCTTCCTTTTGCCTGATTTATGAAATGATATCTTTGCATTTTCCATGTTATTGTCTGGAAGTGGATCCTCAGTTACTTCTGACTTTGTTACTTTAACACTAGTTTGTTTTTCTTTACAATCCTTTCGTATTTTCTTGTCGCTGATTTTAGCGTCCACCTGTATTGCTTTATTTTCCTTATATTTATTACTGATTCGTTGAAGGAATAAACTAGATTTACTGGATGACGGTCTAGAGCGATCATTGGTAATATATTTCACATAATCATCGAAGTAGTAACTTGAAAGTTGTGACGATACATCATCTCCAACGTCAACATCATCCACAACTTGTTTAACAAACATCCGATGTTTTCTGTTATCGGATAATGATTTGTATTTGAAACTGGTACGAGGTCTTTTTCTTTGTTGTGTGTCTCCCTGAAATTTTATATTCTGGACCGATAGGAATATGTAGTCTTCAGTTTGGTTTGGAATATTTCCATATCTTTCCGCATCTACTTCACCATCACCACTGATGTGGCAATGAAACCTGTAAACGTTAATGACAATTATTATTTAATCATCGGTGGTCTAGCGGTCCAGCACACCGCTTTACGTCGCATGGTCACGGGTTCGATTCCTCGCACGGCACAAACATTTTGTATTCATGAGTATGATTGTTTGTATCGGTCTGGGTGCTTTCTATTTATAATATGGTATTTACTAAAAAAAATTATCTATGTATTTGTGTCAGTTGTCTAGTACCCATAACACTACCTAGTAACTTGAAATGACTAATAGTGAAACTTGAAATAGTAGCTAACTACCCTAAAAAGGGCCTAGATGGCGCTGTACGCATTGTCCTGAGACTAGAAAAAAATTAAACCTTTTTGTATTCACAGTAATGCCTTCATAATAAGCTCCATAGTACTTGATTTAGATCTGTGGTTTAATCTTAGATTTTAAACATCAACATTCATAAATCTTTATATATAAAATTTATGAGTCACGTTGTTTGTCCGCGATGGACTCTTAAACTACTGAACCGGTTGCAAATTTGATTTGCACATTGTGAGCAATTTGATCCAACTTGAAAGATAGGATAGCTTACAGCTCTATGTATAGTCTCAATATTATTTTATTCCAGAACCTTAGCTATAGCAACGCGAGGCTGGCTCTACTAGTTTTATATACATAAATACCTTTCGAATACATCTGTCCATCTAGGATCCTCTTCATGTCCTGGGTCCACCATACGTTTCTGACAGTATCTCCTTGGTTTGTCGTTTACCTTTATTGTAATAGGTTTCACCTTCGACCTCTCTTGGAGATGCAGTTTTGCGCACTTCATGGTGAATTATTTTTTTCTAATTGGATGTAACTGAAATAATATAAATAGATTTTTTAAATAATAAATTAATATCTTTAGACAATTAACACAGCGCCATCTAGTCCCATGGTAAGCATTACTTGTGTTATTGGTACTAGACTGAGCTGATGTAATATTTAGATTTTTTTGTAAATGCATATAATATCATATATATACAAAGAAAACACCCAGACTGATACAAACAATCATACTCATGAATACAAATGTTTGCACCGTGCGAGGTATCAAACCCGCGACCGTTGGAAGTAAAGCGGTGTGCCAAGCCACTGGACCACCGAGTTTATTACATAGTATAAAACAAAATTGCTGTCGTTGTCAAGTATGCTTAAATCTTTAATACTACGCAACGGATTTTGAAGCGGTTTTTTTTAATGGATAGATTGATTCAAGAGGAAGGTTTATATATATAATACATGTACACCCGTGCTACGCCGGGGCGAGAAGCTCGTTAATAATAAATTAAATTAATAAAATTTTTGTGGTGAAAATATTACCATCAACTAGTAAGACATACTTTTACATTTATTATATTAGTTTATTAGATTATCATAGATAATAAGGTTTAAAATTCCTTCTATTATAGTACCTATTCATTCATTCATAAACTCAAGAGCGACGCTCTTGTCGGTGGAGCTCTTGCCACTTTCTACGATCTTCCATCATACTCTTCAAGATTTGATACGACACGACTCCAATTCTATCTTTACTTTATTTGATGTAACTGTGCCTTGGTCTTCCTCTCTCTCTCTTTCCTTCTTTCTTTCCCTCAATAATTACTGTCAAAAATTCATCGCGCCGTATCAAGTGTCATAACATTTTTCCTCTTCTACTTTCTATAGCAATCAATATCTGCCTTTTTTCTTTCTTCATGGCTTATTTTATATTTATATAGTACATATATTCCACTTTATACACGTTATATTTAGTTAAATAAAACCAAAACTATAAAGTGAAGAAAACGAAGGGCTCCAACCAACGATCGTAAAGATTATTCTTACACTAAATTCAATAGAATAGCAGATTTGCATTTCATTCGGCCATTTGATATTTTCAAGGTCCCTAACGTTTCCGTAAGGACATATAATTAATAGGTTATCGTGATTTGCAGCTATGAATATCGAATCAACCATTCTCATAGAATACAATAATATAACTAGGCAGTATTGTTTACCTCCTTTTACGAGAATGAAGGGTCAAGGATACACACAGATCACTTCCAAGGATAAGCTTTATTGTATATGTCTTCGAAATATTCTACATAGCTGTTCATATTTACTTTCGAATTAGTGTTTAGATATAATATGAGTACTTAATACTTTATTCGAAATGGAGCAAAATTATAAAATAAATCTTTATTTTCTTACTAGCTACTCGCCTCGGCTTTGCACGGGTATGCATGTATCAAATTCAAATTCAAATTCAAAAATCATTTATTCATGTAGGACATTTTAGCCGCTTATGAACGTCAAATTTTTACATTATAATTTTATTTTTTTTCCCTACCGTCCAGTTCGGTATACAGATCCAATTGAGAAGAACTGGCAAGAAACTCAATTGAATTACTTTTTTTTTAAAGCCAGTTTATTTACAAAGTATATTTATATAGGTGTCTATGTCTAACATTAAATGAAAATTCAGTGCATGAACAACTATTGCCATGCACACTCGTGCCATGCACACTCGTCATTCATCATATCTAAATATGTATAACTCAAAGGTGACTGACTGACATAGTGATCTATCAACGCACAGCCCAAACCACTGGACGGATGAGGCTGAAATTTGACATGCAGGTAGATGGTATGACGTAGGCTAAGATCCGCTAAGAAAGGATTTTGATTAATTCTACCCCAAGGGGATAAAATAGGGGATGAAATTTTGTATGAAACTTTGTCAATTTTAAACCGATCGGGCTGAGACTTTGCATGCATAAACCTAATATGACGTAGGCATCTCCTAAGAAAGGATTTTGATAAATTCCACCCCTAAGGGGATAAATTAACACGAGCGAAGCCGCGGGCAAAAGCTAGTTATATATATATATATAAACCTTCCTTTTGAATCACTCTATCTATTAAAAAAACCGCTTCAAAATCCGTTGTGTAGTTATAAAGTTTTAAGCATACATAGAGACAGACAGCGATAGCAACTTTATTTTATACTATGTAACGATACACCGCTTTACTTGCGATGGCCACGGGTTCGGTTCCTCGCACGCTTTAAACATTTGTATTCATGAGTATGATTGTTTGTATCGGTCCGGGTGTTTTCTATGTGTTATATGTATCTATATATTTACGAAAAAAAATATATCTATGTATTTGTATATTAATATTATCTTGTATCCATCCAAAACAAGCTACAGCTAGCTTAACTTGGGTCTAGATGGCGCTGTGTGTATTGTCCTGAGATTAATATGAGTATTATATAATAAATTAAATAAAACGTGTAATTTTTATGTATGTTTTATTTAACGTAGCCTTTTATTTGACATTTTATGTGTTTATATATTGTCTTCTATTACTGAAAGACTAAACATTTTTAATGAGTGTAAGTCATTAACCATTTTTAGTTAAGTATTTTTGGGTATATTCGTGTAATGTGTGAGCATTTGAAAATTTGCAAATTGAGCCTAATGTTTGTTTGTTTTTAGTTACCTATATATTAAATATAGGTATAAATTTACTAAAATATTTTGATTTAGCCTACCCTAATTATATTTGATAAGTTTCTTATATTTGTAAAATGTTTAATAAATCTGAACTAACAATATTACAAGTGAAATTAGTTAAATGTGCTACAAATTATTACTTTTCACAAGTAGCCATTGTCTGTAGCGTGTAATAAATTAACTGCTAAGCTTAAATTGGTAATACCACAGATAACATAATATTACATAGTAATACTGAGTGAACACTTCGCATAGCTTTTTGACATTCTTTCTGCAACTCTATTGTTTACTTCTATTCATTTTGAAAACAATTATGCTTGAAATTGTTCTTTCCGATAGCTGTCTTTTTCTTCCCCACGGAAAGCTAGAGATTAGAAAGAGATAGATGATACCCATGGTTTTTTTTAAGTATTGATAAACGAACTACAATGCCGACAGGATGGTGTATTTGATCTAGCAACGTAGCGGCCCATATGTTCCTGGGAATAGCTTCGCCAACTATGCAAAAAAAGTTTCTCCATATAATTGCAGTAGAATTGAATGATTTTGATCGTTGACTAGATAAATGATACATACAAGTATAGTTTATATATTATTTTATATTTCAATGTATACTAATGATTGATATTTATTTATATGTATATGTATTGTATGTTTTAGCAATATATATTAAACTAGCTTTTACCCGAGACTTCGCTCGCGTTAATTTATCCCCTTAGGCACACACTACAAAAAAAAATAATCAGACGAATATAATCCATACATCTATACATATAAATAAAATTGAAGTGTCTGTTTGTAATATTGAAATAACCGTTGTTTACTACAAGCATATGAATATATATACACGGTACATACATCAAAATAACATTTTTTACAATTTTTGTCTGTCTATCTGTTTGTTCCGGATAATCTCTGAAATGGCTGGAGCGATTTTAACGGAACTTTTATTGACAGGTGCTGATTAATAAAAAGTAACTTAGGCTACTTTTATTTTAGAAAATGAAAGTTAAATTCGATGTGCACAAACTTTAAAAAGAACATAGTAATGAACGAATTGTTACAATCAGGGTAGATGTTTTAGTATTGTAATGTTAATGTTTTAAAAGTATAAAATTAGTTTAGTTACTACATAAATAAATACGATAGCGTTATCGTGACTAGACAAAATCAATATTTTCAATTTCCATAATTACTGAAGCTGAATTCAAATACCTGACGCCATAACTCGTGATCCTGATTATACTTTTTACTTTGTCCAAATGTTCGTATGTCACGCTATTGGAAACAACATAATTAGTCTCATTTTTTTTTATTTGGTAAACATAATGAGTATACAGCAAACTGTTTTTGTTCTGCTTTTATAAATGTTACACGATATCTTTATTTTGCTATGTTTAGTTCATCATTGCCATGCCATTATTCTGATTTAATCTTATTGTGTTTTTATATTTCAGCCTAAATAAATTAGTGCTGGTTGGTTCACACGTTTCGACATGTAAAATGTGAACTTTATAAGTTGATTGGATTGTTTAAAAGAGCACACAAGTTTCTTGCTTATTCTTCTTGTGATGACACAGCTTTCCGAATAAGCGGTAGATTAAAAAAAAATTTTGACTATTCAAAAGTGCTTAAATTAAGTTTATTTGAATAAATGATTTTCTATTCTATTCTATTTTATAATTTTGAAGCATCGAAAAGTATCAAAATGTGTGCGGCAGTGTATAAAACTCACACAAGTGAATATAATAGGGACAGCTGCTAGATATAGGACGCACACATAGACAGTCATCTTGGTGCATCGCACACGGGCATCTTGGATAACAAAAAATGCATTATTATTATCCTGGAACAAGGACAAACTATGCCGGTCACACTAAAAACTACCTTATACCCCAACATTTATGGACCACACTGCTTTGCATTTCGATTATAAACGATTAACTTAAATTTTATTCTGTAGCGTGAAACGTTTGTTCAAATATAAACTTTAATTGGTTAACAAAAGATTGAAATTATGTTAAGGATGGTATATTAAGGAATTTAAGTGTAATAATTGTTTGAAAAAAAAAGTATCTCGCTAGGCGCCAAATGCACGTTGCACTGCGCCTACGAAACTAAGATTTCTAGAGAATTTTATGTGGAAAGCATTTGGTGAAGTTAAGATTACGTCACATTGCTCTGTACTGTAATTTACTAGATCCTTATACACTATACATATATAATAAGTAATAATAAATATAAGGGAATTTTTCTAGGCAATTTAAAATAGTTTAAGTTTTAATAAGTA